CAAGTGACTGTCTAGCCTCTTCTTAAAAATCTCCAGTGATGGAGCACCCACAATTTCTGGAGGCAAGCTGTTCCACTGGTTAATTGTCCTCACTGTCAGGAAGTTTCTCTTTAATGGTTTATCAAACCATAATTCACTGTGCTTATGCAAAATGAGCAAATGACATTCTGGATCAATGTTTTATATGCCAAAGATTCTAACTAGATCTATGAAATTCACTCGATTATCTTAGGATAGTTTTCTCTGTCTCTCTCAGCCCAATTTTTCTCATAGGGCTATTGTAAAGAAGGAAAGCTACATGGGTTTTTGGAGGAAGAAGAAAATAAAATGCCTTGAATGATATTTTATTAAATATTAAGTTTCAGAGTCTAATGGATCTTACTCATGCAGGAACACACAATTCTTCTAGGGGTCCCACTTTACAGGATGGGTAGTGATTACTCTTGCATCTCGATGTGATTGTGATTCCTCTTTCCAATCTTGCTAAAGACTGGTAATGCCATTGCATCTTCGCCTTAGGCATAATTGGAGCATACAGTCACTCAGGCAGCTGCAATACAATGAGTGAATTTTATATAATACATTTTACTGTTTGCAAAAAGAAGGAAAAAGAATTTACATGAATATTCATAACCCATAGACTTGTTCAACCTTTTTTCTGGCCGTTGTATAACATGAGTTGTTAAAGCACACCCCTTCTTCTTTTAACTTTCTTTCAGAAACATGCCACGTCTTGCTTCCTACTTGCTTAGACTGGAAACCTCTAAGACAGTGTTGGCGAACCTTTTAGAGACTGAGTGCCCAAACTGCAACCCAAAACCTACTTATTTATTGCAAAGTGCCAGGGCCGCATCAGCATTGTGGTGCTCTCAGGGGGAGCAGGAGGGCATGGCCCACTGGGTGGGCATGGCTGCGGTGGTCACGGCAGACTGGGTGGGCGTGGCTGGGGTGGGTGGGCCGGGACCAGGATGACAAGGACCAGTCCCTCGCCATCTCTGGGGCATCCCCAGGGGGCCAACGCTGCTTGCTCGCTCACTTCCTGCCCTGTCGCTTCCAAACACCTCATGCTCACTACTCTGGCGAACTCTGCTGGGGCAATGGCGTGGGTGCCCACAGAGAGGGCTCTGAGTGTCGCCTCTGGCACACATGCCATAGGTTCGCCACCACTGCTCTAAGATTAGGGGTGAGATAGATTTACTAGAGGGCAGCTGGTCTACTGAGCTAGAGAAGCTTCAAGATCCCTGTATCAACCAAAATTCTGGATGGGTTATTTTAATGGCACCATTTAAGACATAGGCCTGATCTTATATTTTAAAAATAGAAACCACAATTTTTAATAATAATTTTTTAACTGAACTTCTCTGCCTGAACAAACCACCCCTCACTCCCACTGAGCTCAATCAAGAGGGTGAAACCAAGACCAAGTGAGGCCCATTCAAAAACTGCTTGTTTGAAAAGCAGCTAAAGTCCTGTAAATGAACGCTTTCTTGCTTAACCGCATTGACCTCCCAAAGACAAGAAGAGAATGACCACGTACGAACTTTTTCAAACCGAACCTTTTTATAGTTATAATCTACTATAAAAAGATTCGGTTTGAAGATGTTCGTATGTGGTCGTTCTCTTCTTATCTTTGGGAGGTCAATGCGGTTAAGCAAGAAAGCGTTCATTTACAGGACTTTAGCTGCTTTTCAAACATACAGTGTGTATGTCGCCTCACAGTATGAGATGAGCGGCATATAAATTTGATCAATAAAATGATATCCAAAGTCTGCCATTTTGACTATTACAATGCACATTACACGGGATTACTCTTACAATCTATACATTGCAACTGATGCAAAATGAGGCAGCTGGACTGCTAAATTGTAGATCATGTAACCCCTCTTCTGAAAGCTCTGCACTGGCACAATTTCAGGTGTTAATATTAATTTTTAAAAGCCAAGTGATTTAGAGCCGTGCTGTCCGAAAAAAACTCCTGTTTAGGGGCCTATGAAGATTTGCAGGAGAGGCTCTTGTAATTAATTAATTAATTAGATGTACACCATATCCTGACTTTCCATTAAGGCCTCAAGGCAGCATACCTAGTATTTCCACCTCTTGTTTCCACTAGCAATGGCACCCCTGTAAAATAAGTTGAGCTGAGAGAGGAGTAGTAGTAGTAGTAGTAGTAGTAGTAGTAGTAGTAGTAGTAGTAGTAGTAGTAGTAATAATAATAATAATAATAATAATAATAATAATAATAATAATAATAATAAATAAATAAATAAATAAATAAAGTTGGAAGGGACCTTGGAGGTCATCTAGTCCAACCCCCTGCTCAGGCAGGAAACCCTATACCATTTCAGAAAAATGGCTGTCCAGTCTCTTCTTTAAAACTTCCAGTGTTGGAGCATTCACCACTTCTGGAGGCAGGTTGTTCCACTGGTTAAATGTTCTAACTTTCAGGAAGTTTCTCCTTAGTTCTAGGTTGCTTCTCTCTTTGATCAGTTTCCATCCGTTGCTTCTTGTCCTGCCTTCAGGCGCCTTGGAGAATAGCTTGACTCCCTCTTCTTTGTGGCAGCCCCTGAGATATTGGAACACTGCTATCATGTCCCCCCTCGTCCTTCTCTTCATTAAACTAGACATACCCAATTCCAGCAGCCGTTCCTTATATCCTTTAGCCTCCAGTCCCCTAATCATCTTTGTTGCTCTTCTCTGTACTCTTTCTAGAGTCTCAACATCTTTTTTACATCGTGGTGACCAAAACTGGATGCAGTATTCCAAGTGTGGCCTTACCAAGGCATTGTAAAGTGGTATTAATACTTCACGTGATCTTGATTCTATCCCTCTGTTAATGCAGCC